TTTTGCTCTTTAAAGATAAACAGGAAAATGCAGCAGGGGTTCTTGCTAGAAAGCTTCATTGGTTCATATACTCTGATACTCTTCTATTGTTATGAGTAGAACATCAACATAATTTACATAAGGATTCCTTAGAGGCCAATTTTAAATGAAGCCACATTTAACTGCAGGTAATTCTTTTATTCCCCCAACGTGATGCTAATTTTCCAACTAACTATGTAAAATATGTAAAATCTCTGAAAAGTAAACCCATCTAAAATGAAATGCAATAGTTTATCAACTCCCAAAAGTAAAGAAAACAAGGAGAAAAAGAAAGGTAAAATCAAAGGGCCAAAGTACCCATAAATTGAATCAAAACACAAGTCTGACAATGAGTTCTGGATTTCCTGGTATTCTAAACAAAATGTTGTGGGGTCTTTGGAAAGAGTGATTTGCTAAAAGAAACCAAGCAAATGGTAATTTTTCATTTGTGGTATCTCTCTGGTTGCCTAAGTAACTTATTTTAGTCCTAAAGCCCTCTGGTAAGAACATAGGCATAAGTGGGCACAAAACCTCTTCAGAGCGGGTAATCAAAACATACTGCTATACACAGAATTTTGTCCCCCCAAATTCGTATGTTGAAGCCCTAATCCCCAAGCAATGGAATTTGGTGATGGGGCCTTTGGGAGCTTTTGAGAGTGGGGCCCATATGATAGGACTGTTGCCTTTATAAGAAGAGACACTGCAGAGCTTGCTCTCGCACAGCAAGAATACGGCCTTCTGCCAGCCAGGAGGAGAGCTTTTACCAGAACCTGACCATGTTGGCACCCTGGTCTTGGTCATCCCAGCTTCCAAAACTGAGCAATAAATCTCAGTTATTGAAGCTACACAGTCTATGGTATTTTGTTATGGGTACCTAAGATACACATGTACTAAATGAAGCAATGAATAGCCATTGATTTGACAATTGCCTGGTCTCCAAATGGGCGATAAATAACTTTGGAATCAAAAAAGATGAGTGGGAAAGAGGCCATAGTTCTTATCTGGAGTTCTAAATGAGCTTTACTCTGTGTACTTAGAATCTCACTCCAGTGCTCATTCCATGTGCTACATGTGACCAGGGCTCCAGACAGATGGTCTCTTCTTCTGAAACACTCTGTTTCTGTGGGTTTTTTAGTTGGTCATTATATGGAGAAGCAGCCTCTTGTCAACATCTTGAGTTTGGCCCTAATTAGCAATAGTTCTCAACCTGTCACAAGTACAAGGCAGTGACTGAACTTTTTCTTTTTTTAGAGACCTCTACACTGCATCTTATAAATATAGAGAATTATATGTATATTTTATGTGATATATATATATATATATGCTAGAAGTGAGAATAACAGGTGTCATTTGAGTATATTTTAAACCAAGAACTACTGATGTATAGATAATTTAGATATAAAACATAGTTATGCCTGTTTAACATAGTAGAACTACATTATTAAACATATTTAGGAAGATAAATGATGGTGTTTTTTCTTGTCCTGTATATCTAAGATTAAAGAGTTTACAATAAACATGATATGGTAAGTTTTAACTTTTATTCTAATCTCTATTCTTTTCCTTCTCATAAAAATTCAAAGTACACAGACACACTTATAAATATTCAATAAATAGACTTTCAACACTTAATACTTCTCATACTCACCAACTAATTTGGGGTAGTGATCCTTTATGGACATTCTAGCGATCTGAGCTTGAGGAAAAGAGAAAATGAAAAGATCACCATCTATCTCCAGTCTTGTACTGTGATTAAACACTGCTAGGATCTTTACCTAGACATATAAAGTCTCTTCTCAGATAAAGAAGTCTGTTGTAAGACTATTTTCCTGAGTTTTCATCCCCTAATGACACCATTTGTATTTCTCAAACAGAACATTAATAAACTGTTCCCCAGTATCAAGGGTTATTAATATTCCCCTCTCTTGTCTTCAGCCGGGTCTGAATACATGAGTATCTCCCATGGGGGACTTTTCTTCTTGAGTGCAGCCATCTCAAGTGTTCAGAATTTCTGATGTATAAGAACTTTTTTATTAATATCTACTTCAAATGTTATCTTCCTTATCTTCAGGCCATTATCTTGTCTACAGGGAGATTTAGAATAATTTCCTCCCTCCATTACATTTTCTCCCTTGAAGGTATTTTATAATTGATGTGCATGTTGTTCTCTCTTTCTGAGGCCTTCTTGTTTCAGGCAAAATATATTAAATGTCTCCAGTCTAGTCCTCTGGATCTCATGTCATGCCACTTGTCTCTTGTATAACCTCAGCATGGATAAAATAAAGGAGCATTAATTCTAAGTTGGCATCCCAGGGATAAAAACCAGGCTAGTTATAGTTTTCCACCTCCTACTATGTGTCCAGTTTCTAATTTTTTAAAATGAATGAATAAAGATTTAGAAATTTAGAAATCTAGATGATACAGTAAATATTATAAAAGTAGACCACTAAAATTTTACATATGTGATTTAAACATTTCTATAAAAATAACCCAATCACTATGTCTTTGACTTATACTTGCTGTCATCAAAAATGTTCATGTGTCCTGTTACCTGATATAACAGGGCTCATAAATGTCTTACAATTCTTATGTTACCCAAGAGAGACTTTGCATTTTAATACTTTACTTTGCTACTTGTGTTTTTATTTACTTTTCTTTAGAGTCTACATCTCTGTTTTTATGAATATTACCATACTTTCATTTGAAATTTTGGCATAAAAATTTAATTAGTGTATTGTTATTAAAAGAACAAAAATAAAACAGAAAAAAAGCAGGTTTTAATAGGTTAGTTTAGATTGTGGACTTTGTAAAAGTATTTACTCAGGCTAGAATAATTCTTCAATGTTATTTATTTATTAAGTTTCACAGGTCCATACATTTTTTTAATGGTCATCTGACACATTTGACTTTTTAAAAGCAAATGTGCCCAGAAAGATTTTTTTAGATGTAGACATCATTATTCTAAGCTTTTATGGAGAGGCAAAAGAATTAGAATAGTTAAAATAATTTTTTTAAATGAAGTGTGTCACTCTATTCAATGCCTATTATATGTCTACAGCAACAAGACAGTGTACTGTTAGAAGAACAGACACACAAATCAATGGGACAGAGCAGAGAACCTGGAAACAGAGCCCCACAAATACACCCCACTGATTTTTTGACAGAGGCGCAGAAGCTATTCAATGGAGCAATTAAATATCTTTAGGTGAAACAATGAAGCTCAACCTTATAGAAAAATTAATTTAAAATGATCATGGACTTAAATGTAAAATGTAAAGCTATACACCTTTTTGGAAAAAAAGATTTAAAAACATAGAGGAAAAACTTTAGTACCTAGACCTAATTAAAAGTTCTTAGACTTGATTTTAAACACATGAAATAAAAGCAAAAATTAAGATCATGGTTCATCAATAAAAAGCTACAAAGTGGGAGGAAATATTTACAAGCTATATATCATCAAAGGAATATATCTAGAATATTTAAAGAACTCTCAAAATTTAACAATCAAAAAATACAACAATCCAATTGCAAAATGAGGTAAAGACATGAAGAGACATTTCACCAAAGAGGGTATAAAGATAACAAAAGCACATTTAAAAATGTTTAACATTGGCCCTGGCTGGTGTAGCTTAGTGGATTGAGCACTGGCCTGTGAACCAAAGGGTAGCCTGTTCAATTCCTAGTCAGGGCACGTGCCTTGGTTTCAGGCCAGGTCCCCTGTGGTAGCGTGTAAGAGGAAACCACACATCGATGTTTCTTTCCCTCTCTTTCTCTTTCCCTGCCCCTCTGTCTAAAAATAAATAAGTACAATCTTTTAAAAAATGTTCAACATCATTAGTCATTAGGAAAGCACAAAGGAAAAACCACAATAAGCTATTACCATACATACACCTATCAGAGTGACTAAAATTTTTAAAAAGTAGTGACAACACTGAATGCTGGTGAGGATGCAGAGAAATTGGATGACATATATTGCTAGAGGGAATGTTAAATGAATGGTACAACCACTTTGGAAAACAGTTCAGTGATTTCTATTAAAAATATACAAATACCATAAGTCTATGTGCAATTTTGGAAATTTATCTCAGAAAAATGAAAATTTTATATTTACCCACACTCCAGCCTTATTTGTAATAGCCCAAAACTGGAACAACCCAGATGTCCTCCAATAGGTGGATGGTTAGACAGACTGAAACTTCCATACCATGGAATACCCTCAGTAATAAAAAGGAACAAACTGTTGATATATTTGGCAACCTGGATGAATATTCAGAGAGTTATGCTGGGTGAAAAAATGTCAATTCCAATTTCATCTATGTAACATTCTTGAAATGGCAACATTATAGAAATAAAAAATTGATTATTGGTTTTCCAGAAGTTAAAGAGGGAGTTTGGCCCTGGCTAATGTGGCTCAGTGGATTGAGCACTGGCCTACAAACCCAAGGGCTGCCAGTTCAATTCCCAGTCACGGCACATGCCTGGGTTGCAGTCCAGGTCCCCAGTAGGGGGCATGGGAAAGGCAACCACACATTGATGCTTCTCTCCCTCTCTTTCTCCCTCCCTTCCCCTCTGTCTAAAAATAAATAAATAACATCTTTAAAAAATATTTGTTAAAGAAAGGGAGTTTGGAAGAGGGTGTGTGAAGGAGGCAAGTGGACATGGTTATAAAAGGAGGACATGAGGGGTTTTCGTGCTGAAGGGAATGTACTAGATCTTTCCTGTATCAGAGTCAAAATCCTGGGTGTGATATTGTGCTAGAGTTTGCAAGGTGTTATCAGTGGGGGGAAAGAGCACACAGTAAGTCTCTGTTATTTCTTACAACTGTCTGTGAATCTACCATTATTTTAAAATAAAAGTTTAATTAAAATAAGTGATTGTGTTTGTTAGCAAATTATAAAGATAAATAGGTAAATTCAATTAAATGTGAGAATGAGGCTTATGAAGATGTTTATTTCCTCTTTTTCTTTGGTTTTCCCTCAAAGGTCTACGAGGAGCCATCGCATTTGCCTTAGCTATTCGGGACACAGAATCTCAGCCCAAACAGATGATGTTCACTACCACCTTGCTGCTTGTGTTCTTCACAGTCTGGGTGTTTGGAGGAGGGACGACCCCCATGCTGACTTGGCTTCAGATCAGGTGAGTGGCCCTGCTGAACTGAGGAAATCCTGAGGAAGCATGGCTGCGCTGTTCTAGTTCTGATGTCACCTACTTGGTCAAAAGTACAATGGCAGGTTCTGCCACTTCATTTCCCTGGGGAAAAGCTGACTGTCAGTCACAGGTGAAACTATGACCTATCACCAACTGAACTGACTTTTCAAGGAGTCCTAGAAATCTCAGGGTGATGTCTGTTCACAGTCCATCCCTACAAGTAAATTATCTGTGATTTCTGCTATTCAACACTATTTACTGAGTACATTGTGATATGATGCAAAGTCTAGTAAGACACAGTTCTCATTCTCAAGATCCTCACACTCTAGTAGGATTTATTCAGAAAGAGCAGTAATACCAAGGACAAAGTGAATCTGTTTTGTTTTTAATTCCTTACAGCACTTAATGTAGAACTAGGGACATGAGACGTGCTCAAACATACTTGATTAGTGAGCCATATGTTTAGCCAGAGGGATGCTATAGACACAAAATAGACAATTTCTCAGAGGAAAGGGGAGTTAAGGAATCAGTAAGAGGCCTTACAATTACCATTGTCTGAAAGATGATTGCTATAAACCTGAAGTATCAGTACAGTGGACAATTTGACAAAAATGGAAAGTCTGTGACAATTGCAAACATAGGTAAATCTATTTTTAATGCTATCTTTATTTAAGTGTTTCTTTGATCTGGATTATCATTTTGGTATTCCAGACAACAATGGTACTTCAGGTAAATCACATTGTATTTCTCAAAGTCATACGTCTATTTTTTAAATTTTATTATTGTTCAAGTACAGTTTTTTGCCTTTCCCCCAACCTATCCTCCCCACCCCAGCCATCCCCACCTCCCTCCTCTGATTCCACCCCCCTTGGTTTTGTCCGTGTATCCTTTATAGTTGTTCCTGTAAACCCTTCACCCTTTTCTCCCCATTATCCCCTCCCACCTCCCCTCTGGTTACTGTTAGATTGTTCTTGATTTCAGAGTCTCTGGTTATATTTTGCTTGCTTGTTTGTTTTGTGAATTAGGTTCCAGTTAAAGGTGAAATCATATAATATTTGTCCCTCGCCACCTGGCTTATTTCACTTAGCATAATGCTTTCCCATTCCATCCATGCTGTCAAAAAGGATAGGAGCTCCTCCGTTCTTTCTGCTGCATAGTATGCCATCATGTAAATGTACCACAGTTTTTTTATCCAATCATCTACTGATGGGCACTTAGGCTGTTTCCAGATCTTGGCTATTATAAATAATGCTGCTATGAACATAGAGGTGCATATGTACTTTTGAATTGGTGTTTTGGAATTCTTAGGATATATTCCCAGAAGTGGAGTTGCTGGATCCAAAGGCAGTTCCATTTTTAACTTTTTGAGGAAACTCCATACTCTTTTCCAAAGTGGCTGCACTGGTCTGCCTTCCCTTTAACAGTGCACTAGGGCTCCCTTTTCTCCACAACTCACCAACACTTATTGTTTGTTGATTTATTGTGATAGCCATTCTGGCGGGTGTGAGGTGATATCTCATTGTGGTTTTAATTTTTAGCTTTCTGATGATTAGTGATGTTGATCATTTTTCTTATGTCTATGAGCTATTTTTATGTCGTCCTTAAAGAAGTGTCTGTTGAGGTGCTTTGGCCATTTTTTAATTGGATTATTTGTCTTCATGGTATTGAGTCATATAAGTTCTTTATATATTTTGGAAAACCCTTATCAGATGTATCATTGTCAAATACATTCCCCCATACAGTGAGTTCCCTTTTCATTTTGATGATGGTTTCTTTAGTTCTACAGAAGCTTTTTAATTTGATGTACTCCCATTTGTATATTTTTTTATTTGTTTCCCTTCCTCTAGGAGATACATCAGCAAAAATATTGCTATGTGAGATATCTGAAATTTTACTGCCCATAATTTCCTCTAAGATTTTTATGGTATCATGACTTCCACTTAAGTCTTTTATCCATTTTGAGTTTATTCTGGTGTGTGGTATAAGTTGGTGATCTAGCTTCATTTTTTTTGCATGTACCAGTCCAGTTTTACCAATATTATTTATTGAAGAGACTGTCTTTACATGCTATTGGATTGTCCTTGCCTCTTTTGTCAAGTATTAATTAACCATAAAGGCACGGGTTTACTATTGCGATTTCTCTTCTGTTCCACTGTTCTATGTCTATTTTGTTGCAATAGTAGATGGTATTGTTTCTTAATTTCTCTTTTTGATAGTTCATTACTAGTGTATAAAAATGCCATCAATTTCTGAGTATTGATTTTGTATCCTGCTAATTTGCCAAATTCATGTATTAGGTCTAGTAGTGTTTTGGTGTAGTCTATGGGGTTTTCTATGCACAATATCAGGTTACCTGTGTAAATGACAGTTTGACTTCCTCCTTTCTAATTTGGATGCTTTTATTTCTTCTTTTTGTCTGATCACTGTGGCTAGTAATTCCAGTACTATATTGAACAGGACTGGTGAAAGCTGACATGCATGTCTTGTTACTGATCTTAAGGGAAACACTTGTAGTTTCTGCTTATTGAGTATGATATTGGTGGTGGGTTTTTTATATATGGCCTTTATTGTGTTGAGGTATAATTTTTCTGTTCCCAGTTTGCTGGGAGCTTTTATCATAAATGGGTGCTGGATTATATCAAATTCCTTTTCTGCAACATGTGATATTATCATGTGATTTTTATCTTTCATTTTATGTGATATATCATATTTATTGATTTGTGAATATTGTACCAACCTTGCATCCCAAGGATGAATACTTGTTCATAGTGTATGATGGTTTCAATGTATTGTTGGATCCAGTTTGCTGGTATTTTGTTGAGGATATTAGTGTCTATGTTCATCAGGGATATTGGCCTACAATTTTTTTTATTTGTTGTGTCTTCATCTGGTTTTTGAATTAGGATAATATTGGTCTTGTAAAAAGAGTTTAGAAGTCTTTCCTCCTCTTGAATTTTTTGTGCAAGTTTGAGAAGATGTAAGTTCTTCTTTGTATGATTGGTAAAATTTAACTGTGAAACCCTCTGGTCCAGTACCTTTGTCTGCTAGGTGTTTTTTGATTACTGCTTTAATTTCATTAGTTGTTATCTGTCTGTTCAGGTTTTTTCCTTTTTCCTAATTCAGTTCTGGAAGATTGTATGCTTCTAGAAATTTATCCATTTCACCAAGGTTGTCTAATTTCTGGCATATAGTTGTTTATAGTATGTTCTTATAGTTTTTTGTATTTCTATTATATCAGTCATTACTTCTCCTCTTTCATTTATGATTCTGTTTATTTGGGACTGTTCTCTTTTTTTCTTGATGAGTCTGGTTAAAGGTTCCTCAATCTTGTTTATCTTTTAAAAAAAACAGCTTTTGGTTTTATTGGGTTTTTTTTATTTTTAGTCTGTTTGTCATTTATTTCCACTCTTATCTTGTCTTTTTACTTTCTTCTGCTTAGCCTGGGCTTGTTTTTTTCTTTTTGTCTGTTTGTTTGTTTGTTTCTTGTGTATAGTTAGATTGTTTATTTGAGATTTTTCTTACTTTTTGTAGTAGGCCTGTAATGCTATGAACTTCCCTCTCAGGACTTTTTTGCTGTGTCCCGTAGATTTGGGGTTGTTGTGTGTTCAATTTCATTTGTTTCCAGGTAGGTTTTATTTCTTCCTAGATCTCATTAATAACACATTCATTATTTAATAACATGCTATTTCACCTCCATGTAACTGAATGCTCTTGAATTTTTTTTACTAAGTTGATTTCTAGTTTCATGCTTTATAATCTGAGAAAATGCTTGATATGATTTTAATTTTTTTGAATTTTTTAAGACTTGCTTTGTGTCCTAATATGTGGTCTATCTTTGGAAGTGATCCATGTGCACTTGGATGAATGTATATTCTGCTGCTTTGGATTGATATGTTCTGTAATATGAATTAAATCCATTCAATCTAGTGTATTGTTTAAGGCTGTTATTTCCTTGTTGATTTTCTGTATAAAAGATCTATCCATTGGTGACAGTGGGTGTTTAAATCCCTTATAATGACTGTATTGCTGTCAATCTCTTCCTTAAAGTCCACCAAGATTTTCTTTATATATTTAGGTGCTTCTATGTTGGGTGCATATATGTTTACAATGGTTATATTTTCTTGTTGGGTCCATCCTTTTAGTATTATGTAGTGATCTTCTTTGCCTCTTGTTATGGCCTTCATATTAAAATTTATTTTGTCAGATGTAAGTATTGCTACCCCAGTTTTTGGTCTCTATTTACATGGTATATATTTTTTTTCATCCCTTCACTTTCAACTTGTGTAAATCTTTTGTTCTGAGGCAGGTTTCTTGTTGACAGCATATATATGGGTGGTCACATTTTCTTATCTATTTAGCTACACTATGACTTTTGATTGGAGTGTTTAATCCATTTACATTTAAGATTATTATTAATAGCTACTTATTCATTGCCAGTTTTTCTTTATAACTATGTTTCTTTCTATTCCTTATTCTTAAAATAGTCCCTTTAATATTTCTTTCAATGCTGTTTGGTGGTAATGAACTCCTTTAGGTATTTGTTTATTTGTTTTTTTGTTCATTTTGTCTAGTAAGCTCTTTATTTCACCTTCAGTTCTAAATGATAGCCTTGCTGCATTGAGTAGTCATGGTTGCAGATACTTGCTTTTCATTACTTTGAATACTTCATGCCAATCCTTTCTGGTCTGAAGTTTTTCTATTGAGAAATAAGCTGTCAGTCTTATTGGAGCTCCTTTGTAGGTAACTGACTGTTTCTCTCTTGCTGCCTTTAAGGTTCTCTCTTTGTCTTTAAACTTTGCCATTTTAATTATGATGTGCCTTGGTGAGATCTCTGGGTTCATCTTGATTTGGGCTCTCTGTGCTTCCTGAATCTGTGTGACTTTTTCCTTCACCAGATTAGGGAAGTTCTCTGTCATTATTTCTTCAAATGGGTTTTCTATCCCTTGTTCACTTTATTCTTCTTATGGCACCCCTATGATGTGAATATT